GTGGAATAGTTATTTACCGAACAAATGCAGAAAGTGATACTTTACCGCACGCTCGTGGATGATCTATTTAAAGTAAAAGTAATCATCACATCAATAAGTCCAATTACTTTATTTTTAGTCGCTTTTTACATAAGAAGCACGCATTGTATAATCTAATGGGGTCTTAATGCCCCACTGATCAAACTGAATGGATTAATTAAAAGAGAAATTCTCGCATTGTAAGAAACAAAAGGTTGCTAAAATGATAAGGTGGGTTGCCTGATAATTTCTATGACGTCTTCTGGGGTGCCTTAAAATAATGCAAATCCGATGAACTTGCAAATCTCTATAAGGCACCCTTGATGACGTCATGAATTTACCCATTACTAGACAATCTATTGGTGAAATATTTGTTTTTATATGAATTCTGCCTGCGGCAACAAGGGCTTTAGTGTTAAGTGCATTGCACTGTTGCCAAGTGCACATATTTTTCTTCAAATTAGTACAAAAACTAAAACAAACCCAAAAAATTAAATAAGCTTTTAATTAATTAATAATAGAAAAAGAATCACATTATAAAAAAAAGTGTATTAAATTAATAAAAACAAAACATTAATGGCTCTGTTCCAACCCGACATGAGAACGGTTCTAGAACAGTAATTTCCAATACTTGCTCATCTATTTTTCAATAATTTGAACATTTATTTTATTCTAATTGACAATTGGAAATCACCGTTCTAGAACAATTCTCATTTCAGTTGGAACAGACCTATTATTATAGTGCTACTAGATTAGAAATTTTAAAAAAACATCCACAATTAATCTGTAGGATTCTGGACAACAATCAAAATAAATTCCTTGTCGGGGGCCACCATAATTTCATGTTTCTTGGACCGGATTCGTAAAAAGGTCAAGTCGTTGGAAGGGTCCAAGTCTCTGACTACACTCCTGGCTTTGTCAGCTAGTGAACTGATCAGTCCAGCGTACTGGACAGTGGTGGTGTTGTCCAGAGTAGTTTTGATTGGAATACCTTCTGAGTTGACCACTATTGTGCCGACTACTCCTTTGTGCGACTGGATGCGTTTCATAGTTTCTTCTACTTCGTTTGACATGGTTAAATTTAATATTTAAGGAGAAATATATTTGGATTTTTCTGTTTGTTGACTTATTTAATGATGACTAATGTAAATCAGCTGGTTGCTGGTTGAATAGGGAAGGGATGTTCTATTTTGACATTTTTCAATAATCTACTCTGGAGTGGTTTAAGTAATGCTCCTTTTGGAGTAACACTATTTGTGTTCGGACTTGAAGTGGAGTAAAAAATAGGTACTCTGATAGTTCTAGTTCACGTGGTGCAACTACAGATACTTTTCATCGGGATATAATGCTGCCCTTCAAGTGCTCAATATAAATGTTGCTAGCAACTTAAGCAAGTGAGGAAAACGAAAATGATAGATAATAATGGTTTGTTTTGGTCTAAAACTTGGAATGGTACTGGAATTGCGCACAAAAAATATTAGACAACAGTTCTAATAGCAGTTCTGAACCGATTCGGAACCAAAACCAGTCGCAAATCGTAAAATTTCAAAACAGTTCCACTTTTAGAGCAAGAACAGAGAAACCCGTTCTAGAACAATCCCAGAACTGTTCTAAATAATCCAAACAACTATCAACACAGTTCGATTACGAATCTAAAAAAAGACCCAAGGATATTACAAACTACACAGGATTGCTCATCTGTCGATATTTCTCGGATCAAGGTCATAATAGGCGTTTTTGGAAACGGTGTTCCGAATAACCCGATCACCAACTGATGTAAACTGTCTTTCTTCAATCGTATTCATTAAAGAAAGAGGAAAAACGAAAATGCTGATGATCAGGTTAATCGGAACAGCGTTTCTGAAAACTCCTATTATATAGCGGTAATGCTTGCATCTCAAACCCATGGATCTGACCCACGCACGATATTAGGTGCTTTCTTTTCAGAGCTTTGAAACTCCGGACTTCGACGCCCTGGAGCGCGTCAGTGCACGGTCTGAAAAGAACGGTAATTAGACATATAGACTCAATTTTGCTTGGACAGGGAGCTTCAGCCTATGTCCTTCTGATGAGTCCTAACAAGGACGAAACGCTTCAGGATTGGCACGGGAAGTCTGGATCCACTGCTCAGTGGGTCGATTCCCAAACAGGGACCGTTGTGTGCCTGTATTCACGTTGGTTATTACCTGAAAAAAATCTTTCTAACAGTTAGACATATATATTATCTGACACTAGTGACAGTTCGAACACTGGAGCTGTGGAGCTTCGACGCCTCACTGAGGCGCTAGCGGTGGGGATAGACGACCCCGGGGCTTCACGCTCCGATTAAAAAGAATGGTTGTTTACATTTCAAAATCATAATCCAGGGCGCCCAAGACCCTGAAAAAAAAGCAGCTATTAGGTAATTTTTCGCGAGGATGATCAAGCATAACCGATTATGCTGGATTATATGATGTGTCAATTGTCATACTTCCCTAATTTTCTCTCTATCAAATTCTGGGATATTCGTTATTTCGTCTGTGAAAACAGACCAAAAATCAACTTTTCTACATTTAAAATCGACGAAAAAATTAACTCACTAGCACAGCCTGAATCGCAAGCATTTCATCGAGGTCTGCGGGTGACGTCATCACGATAAGTTGCTGATAGTGACGTCAATCGTAGGCCCAGAATTAGATGAAGAGGGACTTGGGAGAGTATGACACAATTGACAAATCAATAAAACTACTAATTTTTAAATAACAGCCTTTGTTGGTTTTAGGTTTTACCCTCACTAGAAAAATTATACATTAAATATTTTTCGAATGGGTGTTCCGCAGTATGGGTGCTTGCGCACCCATGGAGTCGGCGCCTATGTGCAGAATGATTGCGAACTAGTTCTGAGCAATGGTTCTGAGTGAATATTTTTGTTCGAATATCAAAATGGAGTAGAAATAGTGCGTTCTAATGGTTCCTGGGTCACTAAGTGCAGTTAAAAGAAATCAAGAACTTATATAGAATTAAACTACACGCGAATTCCATTGGCTGGCCAAAACTGGTTCGGCATTAGTGCAATACTTGAAAACCCGCTCCAGTGCATGCAGACTTTTGGATTTTATCAATAAAGGTGGGTTCGGCTTGCTCACTCCGTGCACTCCGAGTGACTCCATTCGCACCTAGCCATTCGGGTATTGCTTTTTACCGTATTAGGGGTGACTCCATCAGCTCTGTTCACTCCACTCCAACTCCACGCTGAATAGCCGAACCCAGCTCAAATAATAAATACTGTACTTTTTACTTCGAGTGCGGTCAGTTCCACAACTAAACATATTGAACCTGTTCGAGTTTGAAAAAACGACAGTTCTAAAACAGTTTGGAACAATCACACAGTTTATTACTGAAATTTATGAACTATATCAGAGTATATTTTTCTTATAGCGCTTTCGACTTTTGCCTCGAAACTGCACCCGAATGATTTGGAAAGCGATCCGGAACAGATTGGACATTGCTCTCGGCCGAGATTCACGTGTTCGACTTGAACAATAGAACGCTCTGAAATTTTGCACGGAGCGCTCTTTCTTACTCCGTCAAATTCGATGGATCAAAAATACATTCGGCTATTGATTTCAAATGGTGTGCCTTCGTCTAGATTATAATCACTCCCGCTGAGATCTGTGACGTCACCGCTGAGACGGAGAGCATTCTACGAGCAGTAAAGTATAATCGCTATCGGATAGGTCTCACATAAATCTGTGACGTCACTGCCCAGACGAGAAGCCCTCTTGGAACCAAAAATGTTAATAGCTCTTTTATTGTTCGTAATTGGAATCGGTTCTGTATCGAATCTGAATACTATTCCAACCGATTCTAGGAACCAAAACCATAAATTCATGACATTTGAGCTGTTTTCTCGCGGTGGAACTGGTTCGACCCGGTTCAATTAGGTTCGAACCTGTACATTCTTGCGTTGAACCAGTGACGTCACATTGAACCTGGTTCAAAAAAGTTCGAACCGAACTCATGGCTTGTTTTCCGTTGACATAAGACTGTGGTTCAAACCTTCCATTTTCTCGCGTTCACGAGTGATGACGTCATCTACAAATTGGTTTAAACCGTAGTTCGAACCATTCGCCCCGCGAGAAAACGCCTTTGGAGTTTGTTCCGAAATTCCTGTTCCCGTTCCAACATCCTGAGTTCGTTTTAGATTGGACCAGAATCTGATCCGCGAATAAAACTATTTGTTCCAGAGCTGTTTCAAATTTATTCGCATATCGTTTTCAGATCACTTAATTCCAATCCATTCCCATTAAAATTACCACTATTGTGGAATTTGCATAAACCATTTCACTAGACGATTTTCAAATCCACTAGAACTAGTGGAAATGCTACCGAGTTGGCCCAGAGCGCACTATACATATGACGTCACGATATCCATGCTCATACCGTTCTGCTCCGTGGAGTGCAAAGCCGAATTCAGCCAAAATTGAATGTATATTATTAACTACGACCGCTGGCGCAAATTGCTAACGATACCGTTGATGACGTCGGCAACGGTACAATCCAATATGAACTTGATTACAAAAATCGAAGCCGATTTTAGTAGTGTGTAATATCGTTAGTGTAGCCTAGTCGAGTTCATAAATGCGCGCTTTTTAATGCTCTGTTCTTGTAGAATGTCAAATTTATATATGACCGAACAGCAAACAGCCTAATTTATGATATTTTGAAACCGGTTCTGTATGCCTTACAACCAATGCTTACAACATTCCTATAAAATATGGGTATCTCGTTCTAAGTGCACTCAGTTCTTGATTAAACTGAGTACGACAAAGCCCCAATGTTTATCTTCCAGTGTATTATGAATTTGATGTCATAGCCGGTGCTGCACTTTTCACTCCGAGTACAGTCAGTTCCACAACGACATCTATGAACAATATGACAAAATTTTTCTTCGAAAGAAATCGAAAACCAGTGTTGCCAAATGTTGTAAGCAAGACAAGTGTCAATAACAAAAAAAGGCCATCCTTGTTCTGTTAGTAGAACAGCTGTTAAACCACCAAATTAGGAAAACGAAAATGTTCATTGCATTTATTTTTAACTTAAAATTGAACCTCTACTGATGAGCATTCCAATGCCAATCAGTTTTCTAATCGGTTAATTCAAATAAGAGTTGATTTTCTTTCAAAAAAAAAATCGCCCTTGACCCGAGTGAAAGTACAATTTTTCGGAGAGAAAACGTCACTTCTGCTGCCTGTCAACTGAACTCTAGCATAGAGAAATGTCCTAAAAAAATAAAAAATAAAATACAACAAAATCATTGTAGTTATAAATTCGATAAATTCACCGCGAGAGTTTGTTGAATAATGAATTGTCGTGTTGTGGTTAGTGTAGTTGATAAACTGAGTGACCCTGTCCTGGATTATTGAATATTTTTTATTGGGGGCTTTATGAAGAAAAACTGAATTATGTCGACGATGAAGAGCAGCGGTCTGGCCAAAAAAGAGGGCAAAATGAGAATCAGGGCCTTTCCGGTAAGTTGTTTGCTCATCTACAGGGAATTTTGGTCAAGGATATTACCAAGAGTCAGGTGGATTCAAATCGAAATGACCCTCATTAATTTATTTGCCATTAAGATTTAGGTTGATAAGACTTTGAGTTTCTTTTGGTAAGATGACATCTGGATTTGTAACTAGGAAAAGTTATTTCAGTGTAGTTTTTTTGGAAATTATTTCCAAATAAAAAAAAAAAAAAAGAAGAGAAATTGTTGCAAATTGCAGATTCCTTTAAAATCTGTTAGACATTTGTCATATTAATTTTTAAACTGCTATAACTATGACGTCAGAGTCCTTAAAATCAATAAAAATGCAAGGTTATTCTGGATCTCCAAAACATTACTGGCTTGATTTAAGTATTAAACTACTAAGCAAAAACCTAGTATAACATTATCCTTGGTATATTGCAACCTATTTGTGTCCTTTACTATGCTATAAAAAAATAAGGGATAGATATAATCGTTAAACTCTTATTATTTATTGACTAGTTTATTCAAGGTCCCATTGGTTTGACAGTTATCTGTTAACCAATAGGAATTTTTCTTTTTGTGCAGATAGTTATTAGGAAGTTTATCTGAAGATAAGTAAACCGGGCCTTAGTATAATAAATTTAATTTAAATATTTACCTCCATGTTGCCAAATCTTTCTTAAAATCTGTATCTGTAGGAGCTAATATTAGAAGAATCTTGAAAAAAAAAAGTGTATCATAGTTTTAGGTTTATACAGGGTGTTATAAGTTCCTGAGTAAAGCCTAGTACTCATAACTGCGAAATTTGCATTTTTTTGACATTTCTTCGACAATTTGACGTTTAATTCACGCATAAAACGTCAATTTGTCGAAGCAATGTCAAAAAATTGCGAATTTCGCAGTTATGAGTACTAGGCTTAAGTATGGGGATTTTGGTACTTAACCATGAGGGATACAGAGTTGGTTAAATTGGAACAAAGTTGCATTATCAAATTTGAATCCGACGTTTTGTCTTTTGGGCCATCTTTTCTTAATCTTGTCAAAAAAAAATTAGATTTTTATTTTTGGATTTTCATCAAAAATGCCAGTGTAAACCCAGTCATTTCCATTGGGTTGATGTGTTTCATCTGTGACCAATTAGTCAGCTATCGAAATTGCATAGGCTAGCTTTGAATGCGTTTACATGATGAGAACATTGAAATAATATAAAATCTCTCTATTATCGTCCTGTCTCTATTGATTCTGATAAGAGAGAAGAAGACAGCAAGTGCTATAACAAGAGGAATAACGTTACAAAGTCCCAGTCTTGAAGTCTTGTTCTCAAAACATGAGAAACAGTGTCTTTGTCTGTTCTATTTGTATTTACATAACACCAACAAAGATTTTCATTGAAAGATGCCAATGTAAACCCAGTCATTTCAATTTAGTGCCATAGCGAGAGGAATGATGTTACAGAGTCCCAACCTTGGAGTCTTATTCTCAAAACATGGGAACAGCGTTTTTGAATGAACCCGTCTTTGTTTGTTCTATTTGTATTTACATAACACTGACAAAGATTTCATTGAAAGATGCCAATGTAAACCCAGCCATTTCCATTGAGTGTCACTGTACAAAAGTTGATACACTCTATCTATCAAGTCAATCATGGAAATTATAGTGTCTAACTTTAGGTGCGTTTACTTGAGAATATTAAAATAATATAAAATCTCTCTATTATCGTCCTCTCCCTATTGATTCTGATAAGAGAGAAGAAGACAACAAGTGCCATAGCGACAGGAATAACATCACAGAATCCCAACCTTGGAGTTCTATTCTCAAAACATGTGAACAGCATTTTCAAATGAATCTGTTTTTGTCTGTTTTATTTTTATTTGCAGACCACCGACAAAGATTTCATTGAAAAATGTCAATGTAAACCCAGTCATTTCCATTTAGTATCACTTTACAAAAGTTGATACAGTCTATGACCAATCAAGTCAACTATGGAAATTGCATTGTCTAGCTTTAGGTGCGTTTACATGAGGATATTGGAATAATATGAAATCTTTCTATTATCGTCCCCTCCTTATTGATTTTGATAAGAGAGAAGAAGATAACAAGTGCCATAGTAAGAGAAATAACATCTCAACCTTGGAGTCTTATTCTCAAAACATGGGAAACAGCGTTCTCAAATGAACCTGTCTTTGTCTGTTCTATTTGTATTTGCATAACACTGACAAAGATTTTATTGAAAGATGCCAATGTAAACCTAGTCATTTCCATTTAGTGTCACTTTACAAAAGTTGATACAGTCTATGACCAATCAAGTCAACTATGGAAATTGCATTGTCTAGCTTTAGGTGCGTTTACATGAGGATATTGCAATAATATGAAATCTCTCTATTATCGTCCCCTCCTTATTGATTTTGATTAGAGAGAAGAAGATAACAAGTGCCATAGTAAGAGAAATAACATCTCAACCTTGGAGTCTTATTCTCAAAACATGGGAAACAGCGTTCTCAAATGAACCTGTCTTTGTCTGTTCTATTTGTATTTGCATAACACTGACAAAGATTTTATTGAAAGATGCCAATGTAAACCTAGTCATTTCCATTTAGTGTCACTTTACAAAAGTTGATACAGTCTATGACCAATCAAGTCAACTATGGAAATTGCATTGTCTAGCTTTAGGTGCGTTTACATGAGGATATTGCAATAATATGAAATCTCTCTATTATCGTCCCCTCCTTATTGATTTTGATAAGAGAGAAGAAGATAACAAGTGCCATAGTAAGAGAAATAACATCTCAACCTTGGAGTCTTATTCTCAAAACATGGGAAACAGCGTTCTCAAATGAACCTGTCTTTGTCTGTTCTATTTGTATTTGCATAACACTGACAAAGATTTTATTGAAAGATGCCAATGTAAACCTAGTCATTTCCATTTAGTGTCACTTTACAAAAGTTGATACAGTCTATGACCAATCAAGTCAACTATGGAAATTGCATTGTCTAGCTTTAGGTGCGTTTACATGAGGATATTGCAATAATATGAAATCTCTCTATTATCGTCCCCTCCTTATTGATTTTGATTAGAGAGAAGAAGATAACAAGTGCCATAGTAAGAGAAATAACATCTCAACCTTGGAGTCTTATTCTCAAAACATGGGAAACAGCGTTCTCAAATGAACCTGTCTTTGTCTGTTCTATTTGTATTTGCATAACACTGACAAAGATTTTATTGAAAGATGCCAATGTAAACCTAGTCATTTCCATTTAGTGTCACTTTACAAAAGTTGATACAGTCTATGACCAATCAAGTCAACTATGGAAATTGCATTGTCTAGCTTTAGGTGCGTTTACATGAGGATATTGCAATAATATGAAATCTCTCTATTATCGTCCCCTCCTTATTGATTTTGATAAGAGAGAAGAAGATAACAAGTGCCATAGTAAGAGAAATAACATCTCAACCTTGGAGTCTTATTCTCAAAACATGGGAAACAGCGTTCTCAAATGAACCTGTCTTTGTCTGTTCTATTTGTATTTACATAACACTGACAAAGATTTCATTGAAAGATGCCAATGTAAACCTAGTCATTTCCATTTAGTGTCACTTTACAAGAGTTGATACAGTCTATGACCAATCAAGTCAACTATGGAAATTGCATTGTCTAGCTTTAGGTGCGTTTACATGAAGATATTGGAATAATATGAAATTTCTATTATCGTCCCCTCCTTATTGATTTTGATAAGAGAGAAGAAGATAACAAGTGCCATAGTAAGAGAAATAACATCTCAACCTTGGAGTCTTATTCTCAAAACATGGGAAACAGCGTTCTCAAATGAACCTGTCTTTGTCTGTTCTATTTGTATTTACATAACACTGACAAAGATTTCATTGAAAGATGCCAATGTAAACCTAGTCATTTCCATTTAGTGTCACTTTACAAAAGTTGATACAGTCTATGACCAATCAAGTCAACTATGGAAATTGCATTGTCTAGCTTTAGGTGCGTTTACATGAGGATATTGCAATAATATGAAATCTCTCTATTATCGTTCCCTCCTTATTGATTTTGATAAGAGAGAAGAAGATAACAAGTGCCATAGTAAGAGAAATAACATCTCAACCTTGGAGTCTTATTCTCAAAACATGGGAAACAGCGTTCTCAAATGAACCTGTCTTTGTCTGTTCTATTTGTATTTGCATAACACTGACAAAGATTTCATTGAAAGATGCCAATGTAAACCTAGTCATTTCCATTTAGTGTCACTTTACAAAAGTTGATACAGTCTATGACCAATCAAGTCAACTATGGAAATTGCATTGTCTAGCTTTAGGTGCGTTTACATGAGGATTTTGCAATAATATGAAATCTCTCTATTATCGTCCCCTCCTTATTGATTTTGATAAGAGAGAAGAAGATAACAAGTGCCATAGTAAGAGAAATAACATCTCAACCTTGGAGTCTTATTCTCAAAACATGGGAAACAGCGTTCTCAAATGAACCTGTCTTTGTCTGTTCTATTTGTATTTACATAACACTGACAAAGATTTCATTGAAAGATGCCAATGTAAACCTAGTCATTTCCATTTAGTGTCACTTTACAAAAGTTGATACAGTCTATGACCAATCAAGTCAACTATGGAAATTGCATTGTCTAGCTTTAGGTGCGTTTACATGAGGATATTGCAATAATATGAAATCTCTCTATTATCGTCCCCTCCTTATTGATTTTGATAAGAGAGAAGAAGATAACAAGTGCCATATTAAGAGGAATAACATCTCAACCTTGGAGTCTTATTCTCAAAACATGGGAAACAGCGTTCTCAAATGAACCTGTCTTTGTCTGTTCTATTTGTATTTGCATAACACTGACAGAGATTTCATTGAAAGATGCCAATGTAAACCTAGTCATTTCCATTTAGTGTCACTTTACAAGAGTTGATACAGTCTATGACCAATCAAGTCAACTATGGAAATTGCATTGTCTAGCTTTAGGTGCGTTTACATGAAGATATTGGAATAATATGAAATTTCTATTATCGTCCCCTCCTTATTGATTTTGATAAGAGAGAAGAAGATAACAAGTGCCATAGTAAGAGGAATAACATCTCAACCTTGGAGTCTTATTCTCAAAATATGGGAAACAGCGTTTTCAAATGAACCTGTCTTTGTCTGTTCTATTTGTATTTGCATAACACTAACAAAGATTTCATTGAAAGATGCCAATGTAAACCTAGTCATTTCCATTTAGTGTCACTGTACAAAAGTTGATATGGAAATTGCATTGTCTAGCTTTAGGTGCGTTTACATGAGAATATTAAACTCTCTATTGATTCCGCAATAATAGAGTAGACAACAAGTGCCATAGCAAGGGGAATAACAATCTTTATTCATTACAGATCTTGGAGTCTTATTCTCAAGACTTGACAGTAGCATGCTCAAATGAACCTGTCTTTGTCTGTTCTATTTGTATTTTCATATCATCGACAAAGATAGAGCATTTGATCTCATGAGAACACTGTTTGCCATTTTCAAATTGGTCATTGTAACACCCTGCATATGTACATATTTGTTACATAATTACATTATAATTTTAATGAAATTATTATTGGGGGAGTTAAGTTTTTGACACTGTCACAAGACATGAGAAAAAGAGACAAAATATTGCAGATTCCTTTGAAAATCTGTCAAATATGTCATTTTTTTGAAACATTTTTAGGGGTATTCACTAAGGAGGAGGAGATATCTGGGGCCCTAAAAGCAGCTTTCTCATGAGAACTAAGGTTCTGTCTTAGTTATTGATATTTATATTTCCATAACATTGACAAAGACAAGAATAATTGGTCTCGTGAGAACGCTGTTCTCCAGTTTCCAGAATAGACACCCTGGACTGGAACTATGTAATGAATAGCAAATCAATATCTCCATCTCTATTATTGTCCCTATTGATTTTGTGATAAGAGAGAAGAAGATAGCAAGGGGAATAACAATCGCTATCCATTACAGAACAGAACTTGGAGTCTTATTCTCAAAACTTGAGAGCAGCGTTTTTAAATGAACCTGTTTTTGCCTGTTTTATTTGTTACATATAATACTGACAAAGATAGAGCAATCGTTCTAGCATTCAAGAATAGATGTCCAGAGGAAATATAACAAAGATCTGAAAATATATTATCTGAAAAAAAGATTCCAGATCAAAGAATTGAATTGAGAAAATTTTGCTTCCCACTGGAAGAATATCCAAAGATATTATCTAAGAATATCCAGAAATATCTGAGAAGTTTTAAGGAAATTTTCCTCTGAGTAGATACAAATTTGATTGAAAAGTTCCAATAGAGATCTAGAAAGATTTTGAATTGCCTATTCTAACAAATTCAGAGAGATTTGAAGAGTTTTTAAGAGATTAATAGGAGATCCAAGTAGATTTTTTACTGTGGTTATAATGTAGTAATTCAAAGTCCCTGGTCCAGGCTCCTAAAGTTGTCTGGTAATAGGTAACTTGATGACTCATCTGAGGTGCATTATGTTGAGGCATACAGATGACGTCATAAGGTTATCCAGGCAACACAAAACTGTATGTTAACATCGGAATTGAATTTGAAAACCGCAACAATCATCCACCAAGCCAATCAAAAAATGTCATTGACAAATTATTTTCAAAAATAAAAAAACTCAAAAAAAAAAAATTACTTGTTTGCAATATTCTACACCCTTTCTTGTATAGGTATATTTTTTACTAATCAAATGTCCAAATGTATAATACGATTTTCACGATGATGGAAGAGGACGGGCCCTCAGGTTCGGAGAGAAAATGGACGCCAACGGGCGACACAGTATTTGGCATTAATACAGTTTTTGAACGATTAAAACCTCGGTTTTCAGATGACCATGGACGAAAAGTACGTGGAAAGTATATGGGCCTTATTGAAGAACGCCATCCAGGAGATCCAGAAGAAAAACAATTCCGGCTTGAGTTTCGAGGAATTGTACCGGAACGCTTACACTATGGTGTTGCACAAGCACGGCGAACGATTGTATACCGGTTTGAAGGAAGTTGTAACACATCATTTAGAATTTAAGGTAAGTACGACTTTTTGCCTATTGAAGATGCAACAAAAACATACAGCACTTATTCCTTGTTTCTGTGAAGAAGTTTCACGTGTTAGACGTTTTACTTTTGGTTTCAGGTACGAGAAGAAGTACTCAAGTCGTTGCACAATAACTTTTTGACAGTACTAAATCAGGCCTGGAACGATCATCAAACTTCAATGGTGATGATTCGAGATATTCTTATGTACATGGATCGAGTTTATGTGCAGCAAAATGACGTGGACAACGTCTACAATTTAGGTTTAATTATTTTCAGAGATCAGGTTTGTTTTCCAATTTATGAAGCAGCAAGGAGTCACAAACCAGTCGGAAGAGCGTTTTTGATTGGTTCAACAGTTGCCAATATATAAAAGAGCGATCCACCTTCGGTGTATCCCCTCCAATTGCTATATTGTTAACGCGCTCATCGAACATATATAATATATGAGTTAGAAACAGATAGATAGATCAACGAGTTGCTCACGTGCGCAATTCTCTATTATTTTGATCAAGTGATTATTAGGTCGGCATACACACTCGTTATTTCGCGCGGTTTATTGTGTCAAAAACCTGTGACAAATCATATGCGTGAATGAGAAGGGCTGCACGCAATGATAGAAAGGGAAGGGATTTCAATTTTCAGATGTGCTTTCATTTGGAATGTGGTGTCAGTACTCTAGTATATGATAGTGCAGTTCACACACGTCATTTCACGCATTGTTTTTAAAGTTAGTACGAAGACATGAACGCCGCCTAACGAACTATCATGTTGAAAATTAGTACATGACCACATACACTTTCAAACGACATGATAAATTGCTACAGGCATTTCATATGCCACGCGTAATCACGTGCTAAATTATTTGAATACTTTGTTAAGTGTATGGAACATGATGCTTTTTTTGCCACGCTGCCCGAAAATATTGACTACCTACACAGATTACCTTACCTTGCGATTTTATCCTCACTTTTCGTGACTTTATCCTCAATTTTCCGTGAGTCTCATCTTACTTTTTCGCGAGTTTAAACTCACTTTTTTTGAAATTTTTGACTCGTATTTTTTTTGCCATTTTATCCTTATTTTTCCTCATTTCAAAATTACGAGAATAATGATAATTTTTGAAAAAATTATGAGAATTGCAAACATTTACGAGAATTACGGAACACGACGAGAATCACGGAATAACAGAAAATTGCGGGAATTACAAAAATTATAGGAATTGCCAAATATTACACAAAAGAATTACGAAGTTACTCCAAAATTACGTCAAATATTTAAATATTACTAATTTTTGAAAAGTTACGAAAACTAACAAGACAAATGACGGGAATTACGAAAAATAATGGGAATTTTAAAAATTTACGGAACCCAGTAAAATGACGAAAATTTACGGGAATTGAGAAAAATACGAAAAATTACAAAAATTACGGGTATTACGAAATGTTACGGGAAAGAATTACAAAGTTATTTCAAAATTACGTTAATTCCCAAAATAACGGAAATCACAATTTTTTTGAAATTACGAAAATTACAATAACTTAGGGAAAATTAGAAAATTCCGTATTTTTTTGGAAATTAGGAAAATTGAAAATTAAAAAATTGAAAATACAAATAATTACTGGAATTACGAAAACATCACGATGGGAAAAGCGCGAAAAATTGCGGGAATAATGAAAATTAACAAGTTTTCCAAAAATTGAAAAAAATAAGGGGGAATTAGAAAATAACAAGAATTATCTGAAAAATGACAGGAATTAAAAAATTTCGAAAATCCTCAAAAAAAAAAAAATACGGAAATTACCAATTTTCGAAAATTTCAAAAACTTGGGGGGAATTATAAAACTAACGGATTTTTTTTGAGAAATTGCGGAAATTAAAAAATTACGAAAATAATGGGAATTACGAAAATTTCGAAAATTGTAAAAACTAAGGGAGTATTATGAAAATAACGAGAATTATCTGAGAAATGACAGGAATTACAAAATTTCGAAAATTTCCAAAATAAAATACGAAAATTACATGTTTTCGGAATTATCAAAATAACGCAGTTTTCTAAGAAAATACAGGAATTAAAAAATTACGGAAATCTGAAAACTACAGGAATTATTCAAAAATTATGAAAAATACGAAAAAATCACGGGAATTAAAAAAATTGTGACAATTTTCAAAAAAATTACGAAAATAACAAGAATTACAAAAAGTTACGGTAGGTATTCACGAATTTTCCGAAAATTGCAAAAACTAAGGAGGAATTATGAAATTATCGAGAATTTTTTGAGAAATGACGGGAATTTAAGAATTTTCGAAAATTCCAAGAAAAAAAATACGGGAATTACCAATTTTTGAGAATCACAACAAACTAATAATAATAATAATAATAATAATAATTTATTTAGCAAAGCAAAGAGTTACAAAATAATAATAAATAAATAAAAGTCTATAAAAAAATTTGCAAAAATGCCATCACAATGTATCCTGATTACTGCTAAATAATAGACAACGCACAATTGTATTTAAAATACTGTGTGTGCGCATACAAAACTCTATTTTTTTGATTTCTTTATGAATAAATATGGCTATATACTTAATAAATATGTTCGATATCACAGAAGAATATTCAAATAGAAAAGGAAAAATTACACAATATACATATATGGTACTTAACATGAGTAAAACTATCTTAACAATAAACAAACACAAATATAATTTATAGGAATCTAGTAACACATAATAAAATGAATTTACACTACATATTCTATTTTAAAGCCACTTTCCATAATCCACTTATTAAGATTTTTTTCAGTTAATTTGTAAGGTTTGAATCTAATTTCCTGCGGGAGAGAATTGAATATCTTAGGTCCGATACAGTAAACATGCCTTTGGGTTACTGTGTGCCTGGGGTTTTGCATTATAATATCATTTTGTATTGCGGTTCTTGTAGTGTGACTATGTTTTATTTTTTCCTTATAGTATGTTGTTTTAATCATAAATCTAGCAATAGCCTTTATATATAATTGGTCTATTGTCATTAGGTTGCTTTCTTTATACACTAATTCAGAAGGATATCGTTTATTTTTGAAAAGCATTAGTTTAATTATCCATTTTTGGGCGATTTGTAATTTTGCCAAGAATGTAGTGCCTGCTCCACCCCAAACAACAATGCTGTAGTTTATCACAGACTCTACAATTGCACTATATATCATTTTCAAGGTATTCAGTGAAAAAATATTTCGTAATTCGTAAAATTTAAAAATGAGCTTTCAGAGCTGGGCAGTAGCTAGCTACCAAGTAGTTAAGCTACTAGCTTAGCTACTTTTTTGGTAGCTAATAACTTATTCAAGCTACTTTGAAAAAAAAGTAGCTTGTAGCTGTAGCTTTTGGTAATGTGTTTCAAGTATTCATAAGCTACTGTGAAAAGTAGCTAGCTACTAAAACAAGCTACTTAAGCTACTTTTGGTAGATAGTTAATAGTTATTTAGGTATTAATGGCGGAAAGTGTCATTTACCGCCCTAGGGGTGTGGTTAACGATACTCAACGCCCAAAATACTTATTACGTTTTATGCGCAGCGGACTTTTCTAGTTCAAAAATAAAATAACTATACCTATAATACAGAGTGGCAAAAAAGTCGCGCATAATACCTGTAACTTTTTAATTACCTCGTATACGAAAAAGTGACCTTAATGAAAGTTGCTTAGTAAATTATTTCCCACATTTCTACCTGAACAAATTGTTTTTGTCACTTCTGGTTTGTTTGCTATCCAGACCAACTTTGTTTTTTTAAATGAAACACCCTGTATGTGATTGAATATTTGGATTCTACGTAAAATTCTGAGTAGATTTCATTTGATATAACCCTATAACTAAGTTCAACTGTTTTGGAAATATTGACAGTTGAAAATTAACTTTTTTGCAACTTTGATAGCGCGTAAAACCCAAATGGTTAATTTTAGAGGAAAACCAATTTCACATTCCTATCTTAGATTTTCATAAACTATCATTTGACACAAAATACAGAGTGTTTTATTTGAAAAAATAAAGTTGGTCTAGATAGCAAACAAACCAGAAGTGACAAAGGCAATACGTTTAAGTAGAATCGTGGGAAATAATTTACTAATGGCCATTTGCACCGCAATCACTTAAGGGATATTAAAGGGATATTTAATTTGAGTGGAGCTTTTGAATGTGACTTTTGTTTCTACGAGAATCACATTCAAAGCTCCACTTAGAATAAATATCCCTTAAGTTATAGCGGTGCAAATGGCCGTAAGCAACTTTCATTAAGGTCACCTTTTCGTATACGAGGTAATTAAAAAGTTACAGGTATTATGCGCGACTTTTTTGCCACTCTGTATAATGGCATCCATTCGACATTGTTTTCAAAAATAAACAGTTTTCCCCTTATAAAGGCACGTTTCCACCAACCTATCGCCCGCGTTTGAATTTACCGCTCGATAAAAGTAACTTTATACTTTAATTGCTCAAGCTACAATTATCATTTTCCGGAAAATTCTTATCCTGCCTCGCTAAGACTAGTTTCTAGTTATCTCTGTAGGTACCTATGTTTTATGTGTCCTATTTTATTCTCGCATTCGCAGATCACTGTGATCAAAGTGAACCTAATAAATTAATGTCCTGTGGTTTTTGACAAAAATCTGAATACTACTTCTTAGAGAAAGTTAATATGTTATTTTCGTATGATGATATTATGAAATTAAATTAGGTAAGGCATGTACATTGATAAAAGTAGCTTAAATAGTAGCTTTCACTAATTCAAAATGTAGTTAAGTTACTAATAGCTTAGCTACTTTTTCAAAGAGGTAGTTGAGCTACTGAGTAACTTAGCTACTTACAATATAAAGTAGCTTGTAGCTTGTAGCTAGCTACTTTTTCCAAGTAGCTTGCCCAGCTCTGTGAGCTTTCTAACTTTCTTTGTGACATATTCAATGTGGTTTTTCCAATTCAGATTTTGATCAACTAATATTCCCAGATATTTTACACACGTTTCTCTTTCAATAAATTTATCACAGTCACACATTACATTAATATCACAGCTATTTTTATGCAGTACAAGTTTTGAAAAGCTTGGTAGACCCCTTGTAGACAGGGAAAAAGCAACAAATTTAGTTTTTTCAATATTAAGTGAAAGTAAATTATTGTTTAACCAGTTTTTAATTTTTTGCATTGATATTTCTGCTCTTTGTTTGGTAATTTCCCAATTATCACCACAGATTATAATTCCAGTATCATCTGCAAAGCAAAATATTTCATCTATATAAATATT